AAGAATAGGGAAGCGATCTCGAGAGAGTCGCACAAATACTTAACATTTCAGTTCTCTGAAACACGTATCTTGTGATGGCTGTAATCGCGCCGCAAGACTAATGTGTAGAGTGAGGCTGAGACCAAGTTTTCGCTAATTGGAGCCTCGTCGCATTGAGGGAAACTTTCTTTCCATTCGTAACGCACTCTCGAATTTCCGAGTATCGGCTACGGGTAGGTTGTGGCCTATTGTTTAGGTCGTGATCGAACGGCATCAGTGTGACAGCTTTCGCTCACTGTTTTGACATCTTTTCAGCCTTCTAGAACTTTTGCCTAATCGTCATTTGAACCATATATACGAAACCTTAGTAACGATATTTCCTGGACGGCATTAGCAATAGTAGAATCTTTGAAGCGTTCAAAGGAATGAACAAAAAGAATTACATCTGACAGACCATACGTAAACCTGGTGCAAATCCAAGAAAGAAGTATACTCCAGACACCAGCTGTCTTCTGCTGAAGCTAAGACTCTGCCACAAGATCGGGAACGTTGGAGGCACTCTCTGACGCGTCTGCCTCCGCGCCTCGAATAGAGAGGCGGTTGTTGAAAATGAAGACTGTACGTCAGTTGAAATGTTCTTATTCCATTCTCTGAGTCGGCATTCACAGCGGCAGTGTTGATTGCTTGACCATCAGGACAAGAGATCCATCGAGCAGCAGCTTTGCTTCTGTTCATGGTTCGGTCAAACCGCGAGGACGGGCACATTTACAGCACGCATGATGATCCGGATCACAAGTTTTTCCGATTAGCCTCGCTTTCCGGTAGGAATTATGGCATTACGTTTTCGACCGACCAAAACTCACAGATGATTTCCGAAAACCTGCGTCGTTCAGGTTTACCGTCACGGAGATTGTGTAACAGGATTCACTGAAGAGATGTCATACCAGTGGCCTTCGCGTCTGCACAACACCAAAAGTCTAAACTCCACTTATGCAGTTATGAATATGGCAGCGCATCTGCCACATCCTGCTTGCATGCGCCTGGTAGACGTAAAGGAGTATCGAATCTACGTCGATTATTGGGTACGGCCATTTTTCAGCAACCGTTGCAGCTTTAAACCAACGTGGACGGCAGTTGTCGGCTTAGAACAAATCCTGATAGTATAATAACATCTCCAGAAGCTGTAGGATTTCAGTAGGAAATCCTCGAACAATTCCGAATATTACAACGTGATCGTCGTTCTAACGACCATACTACATAACTTTCACGTCAAAGTCTAAAGAAGCTTCAAAATATTGAGGACATAACAACAGCAAAGAAGGTTAAACCTTCCGCTAATTATCACATTGAATATGCAGCAGTTTTTTCAAGGCAAATTGCAACACAAAGCGGTGAGCGCATCAAACAGCATCACTGCATCCCTCGCTCATTCTAGCATGACTTCAAAAGAACATCATGCTGACACTGCTGTTCGCAGGTAACCGAGTTCTCACCCATTGAAGAACATGTTGTACCGAAGCGAGTGAGGTAAGTCCCTTGTTCAAGCAAATCCAATGTTAAGACAGACATTGTCCCTCACGCTGAATTTCTCACGTTTGAGGCTAACCTCCGTCCAACTCTGTCACAGCGCTCCAAAGCATACCCACTGAAAACTTTACTTGGAATAAGTAGACATACGACAACAGTCCAACATAGAGAGACGATTGTTTCGGGTGGACCTTCGAGCAGTCATCGGCCAAGTGACAA